CCTTTAAGTAATTAATGAGCATGTCAAGATATATTACTTTAGGATAATTTTATTTTTCTTAGTATTTAAATGAATATATAACCAATGGATGTTGAGTAAGTTACTTTACTATTCTCCACAACAAATGCATCTGCTAGCCTAAGAATGGCTATCTGCTTAGTTAAATTGATTACTGTGTGACTTTATTTTTCAGTACATAAGAATGAAATAATAACTTAAAAAACAAACAAACAATCACATACACACACACACACACACAAAAAAAAAACCAGCCAGGCTTTCCAGCCTTAGCCTTAGACTCCTCAGCAGCTGTCATGATGACACCCAAGAAGAACCGGACTGCCATTTACAAACTCCTTTTTAAGGAAGGGTGATTGTGGCCAAAAAAGATGTCCACATGCCCAAGCACCCAGAGCTGGTAGACAAAAATGTACCCAAATTTCATGTCATGAAAGCCATGCAGTCTCTCAAGTCTCGAGGCTACATGAAGGAACAGTTTGCCTGGAGACACTTGTACTGGTACCTCACAGTGAGGGCATCCAGTATCTGTGCGACTGCCTCCATCTGCAACCTGAAATTGTGCTTGCCACCCTGTGCTTCAGTTGGCCTGATCCTGGCAGACCCAGGTGCAAAGGTGTGGAGGGCAGTGACCCAGGAAACTCACACTAGGGAAAGCCAACAGGAACATCCACAGATGCAGTGCCTCCTGGCCTTCTGAGGGCAGATGAAAAGGCTAAGGCCACAGTCAGCCACTGAACTCCAGTTTAAAGGCAAATTGTGGTCCTGTATGTGGTCAAGCACTGCAGTAATATCAGAGGACTATATTTTCTGTTGAATAGATGTGGAGCCAGAAAAAAACAAAAAAGCCTGAGATCCTAAATGGAAATTTTATTTTATTTTAAGTTTTATTTTATTCTAAGAATGTGACATACATTAAATCTTTTTTAAAATTTTATTTTATGGATAGAATTGCTCAGTCATCTCCTAAGCCTTCTTTGCAATTCACAGTTCTGATAGAAACACCTTGAAAGATAGCTACTTTCTCTGAAATTCCTTAACAGTTGAGTCTCGTAAAGTTAATGATCATCGAAGGATTAAATCCATTGCAAAAATTTTACTACCCTTTATAATTTCATTATGGGTGTTCAGTATCTGCAGATGTGGTTTTTCTGGCTTTTCATATAATGTTAAATCATTTTGGCTTATTCTTTCCATGAAAATTTATCTCATTTGTTTTCTAGTTCTTTAGAAAAAGAAATAATATCTGAAAAGTAATCAGCAGGCTTTAATTAAACAAGATTTATCTTAACTGCAGTTTTTACAAACTGTCCTCTGAAGTGGGTTTAACTGGACTACATTCCAAGCTCACACCTTGATAAGGTAATGGGAGAGGAGCACTTAAGCTCATGAGTTTGAGATCAGGTGTGGGCAACCCTGTCTCAATAATTATTTGCTAGCTATAATTTTCCTAAATTTATGAATTTGTGTCTGCAGCTATTATTAAATATAAGTGATTTGAATTGAAATATATTGTTTTGGTCATTTTCTATATGAAAACATTAACAACTTCCTAGTGGAAAGCGTCTACTAGATTCATGTTCTGCCTACTTGCAAGGTACATAAACATCAATTTCATTGGAAGGGTAAGTTGCCCAAATGCCAGGTACTTTTGTGCTTATTACTTACAATTCTCTGTCAAAGTCATGCTCTCACTATCTGTCACTAAACTCATGTTCTCTCCCATTGTAGGAGGTTATGTTGTTTCCTCGTACTTATATTTCATCTTCCTAAGATGGGTTGTCAAAGATTCTTTTAACCTCCTTTCCTATTTTACCTATTTTTATTACTACTAGACAGCCATCATAAGTAAATTCCACATGGACATATGTGTTCATAGGCTTAAAAAGAAAAGGAAAGCCTTAAGAATTAAAAGGATTCTGGGAAATAAGGAGTGGAAAGCATATGGTGACAGTGGGTGGCAATAGGGTAAAGATGGAATTTCCTAAAGCTAGTAGATTGCTTTTCTTATTCTTTCAATTTTTTTCCATATCCCTAGTCTATACTCAGTTTCAAATGTTCCTCTTTGTCTTACCTTCAAAATAAATGGCTTCAGTTTTTAAGAGCCCAACACCGTATGCTTTCTTGTTTTGCTTACACAAGACTAGGCAAGAAATTTACTAATATTAATTGTATTTCCAATTATTTAAGATTGCTGTTCCTTCAGGGTGAAAGTGGAAAGAAGAAAAGAAGGCAGTTTTGATTGTTTAATAGCAAATACTCAAAATCCCAATAGCCACACAGAGAATTCAATGTTATAGGAAGTTTTCTAGAAATAGGTATTCATTTAATTTTTTATCCAAAACAATATGCTAGGAAGATACATTTTTAAAAAAGAGAGAAAACAAAAAAGAACTTTCTTTGACAAGCTTAAAGATAAACATATTTCTTCTATAAAAGAAATGAAGGTTCATCATAAGTAAGTAAACAATTTACTAATGAGAAAATTGTGATTAATAGGAATAGGGCAAATGAATGGCTAGTAAGAATATCGTAGACTCACTAGAGAAAATGGTGCTTCTACTGCAGTTTTCTTGCCATAGGTCCATTCTAAGTTGTCCCAGTGGGCAACATACAACTGTGGGTAAGTTCCACTCCTACCCTGAAAGCTAGTGCAGGACAGTGACCCCTAGCCTTAAAAGTTTTCTTTTTCATTAGCCAGGGGAAATAAGAAATGCTCATCTAGTTCTCTACACTTTTAATGTCAGACATCTTTCATAGAGACATATCATGTGTATATCAAAGTCCATTATGTAGGTAACACTAAAATTACAATTTACTCTACATTCTTCAGTGGCTGTGAAGCTGATGTGTATTTCTGCTTTGTGTTGCAACTGACTGCCTAAGTCTACCTTTCACTTAATAGCTGTAATCATATTTTCTTGAGCCTTGCCTTAATTTCTATTTTTCCTCAATTTCAGATGAATTCTAATATTGTTTAAATTATTTGACATTCCTATAAATTATTCCCCACACTGTAGAAACTTTTACCACTATCTGACACCCTCTAGACTAAGAAGGAACTTTTAAAACAAGAGGTAAGAAAAAATATTAAGATTAAATAAAACTGTGAAACTATAAGAACAGTACCTTTAGAAAGTGGTCAGGATTCAGAAGTAGTTACTGCTTCAAATGAAGACCAAGCAAAGGACATAGGCTCTGACAGATGAGAGCCTCGCCATTTCAAATCAAATCCCATGATTCTTCTCTAATTTTGTCATTAGTATTTTTTTCCACTCTACATTGAGGAAATTCTTACTTTCTGAATATCTTCTAACTAAAGAGTTGCTAGGGCTGAAGAGATGGCTCAGTAGAATAAGCACTTGCCTGACAATCGCAGGGTCCTGAGTTCACCCCGGTACTGCAAGATAAATAAATAAATATTTGTTAAAGAGATAGGACAAAGACCATAAATTAGGATTATGTGGAAATAAGAAGGAAATCTGGGATGAGGGGAGAAAGAGACATGAGGAAGGAGGGTAAAAATGATTAAGATGTGATTTGTATAAAGTCTGCAAGAAATGTATACATATTTCAGCAGTTTGCTGTACTAATAAATGTCTGGAAGCTAATGACCACCACTGTGAGCACCTCTTGTAAATGCAGAGGTCAAAGGCAACTTGGATTAATCTTATGATGTCCCAATAATTTTTTTTTGTAGAACCAAGGATTGAACTCAGGCCCCTAATCTACTGAGCCATCTCCTTGGCCCCCCAATAAATTTTTTTTGACAGTTAATCATTTTATTATAATGACAAGACAAATGATTCTTTGTATCACCATTACATTCATGCTAGAGATAACAACACTTCCTCTATCATAAATGCTATTTCATCTTTTAAGACATATTATTTTACTATGCTTAGAGTAACAACATGCTAAAGAAATAGGGAACATTCCATTTTTGTTACTGAGCGAAATACCTACTTTTATATAATTTACACTCAACTTGTTAGTAACAGAAACAGTGAAATACTTTACTCCTTGATATGCAACAAGACTAACCCCGAAGACATGCACTACAACCACGTAATAGATTCTGTCATTAATATGATGTGCTTGGCATCTTAATATATTATGTCCACACCTTATGTCATATTTTCTACACAGAAACAGATGAAGAGGGGAAGCAAAAGGGTCATTAAAAAAATACAAATAGCTAATAGCATCAAGGTCATTTGTAATGAATGAGATACAAATTTTTAAAATGCTGTGTTTTTCAGTTATACTAGCACAGACTAAATTTACAGGAAAATAGAAAGTAACTACAGTCAACCGGGAAGCACAGAGGCGGGAGTGATCACACATATTAAGCAGAAGTCTCAACTGCTCCACCTTTTTGAAGAGCAATGTGGTAACACCAAAGCTTTAAGAATGCTTCAGCCCTGACTGAGTTAACCTATTTCTAAAACCTTAAACTGCACAAGGCTAGTCACTGTACCACCACTTAACAGTAATAAAATGCAGACAAAAAGCCTACTAGAGGAAAATGGACACACTATGACCCATCTTACTGCAGGCAGTGAGGTGCTGCTCAGTGCCCTCCTCTTGAACCTGCCTTAGGTTTGTCTTTTCCAACAGAATCTACTAGAGAGGCAGAAAGTGTCCAAAACTGGTTTCTCTGTGACCAGAAACTGCGGGGCTATCTTTAGGGGACTTCTGGGAGACTCTTTCTCATCCATGAAGAATCTAATGCAAAAGTGGCCTCTGCCATTTCCTGCCTTGGATGCAGTTTTTATTTAGATGCGAAACTGGAAGTTACAGCAGTTGTTTCTCTAACTGGGAGGGGAATGAGTCTACGGACAAATAAATAAATCGAGGCTAAGGCCAAACAAAAACTAAAATATAATCACCTAGAATTATCAGTGTCCCTAGTTATCTAACCTTATTATGATCGAACACTGTTACCTCTGATCAAACTGATTATTAGTCCAAGAATGTACTCTAACTCACTATAAGTTCATGCGAGGCACAGTTAAATATTACATATAGTTAAAAAAATTATAAAAACAGCATGTGCCCATTAAAAAAAAGCTAATATGGATTTATTTGCCACGAAAGAAGGTCTAGAAAGATACTCAGGGTCTAGGCTAGTGATTTCTGGTAGGATTTACACAGTTCCCTTTCGCACATCTGCACTTTCTACCATCTTTACTTATCAGCTGCAGGTGCTGCCACCCTTTCTGCGCATTCTGCCGAGGTCTGTGTAGGAAGAGGGAGACATTCTAGCGGCCTATCTTGAAAGAGAAGTCTGCTTCTTCAATAGTAAAAGGTTTTGGTTTCTAGAAAAAACTGCTTTTTATACTACTGGGGATTTATTTTTTTCAGGGAATATGGAAGATTGCAAACAGTCGTCACCTGCTTTCATTACATAGTGAATCGTATCATGATTTTGTACCATTCCGAATTAGAATTTCTTCTGTAAAGTAAAAACAGTCCCAAAATGAAGGATCTTCAGGTGTCATGGGAATAGCAGATGATATTAAATCATTAAAGGTAAGGATAGTAAACTGCCTCTGGGATGGCTTCGAGTCATCTGAGGAAGGCACATCCTTTTGTCTAGATCCATCAGGTTTCCTAAGAGCTACTGCAACAAAATGGTGCTCATCTATTTTGCTTTCCTCAAACTCCCACTCTTTTTCTTCTTCTCCATCCAGGAACAAACGTGTTTCTTTATAAACCTGGCCTATGTCCAGGTTTAATGGGGAGATGTCAAATTCAAGCCGTTGCAATTCAAATCCCAGTCCAACACCAAGGGCTTTAATGAAGCTTTCTTTCAGTGCCCAGTTCCTGTAGAACGTGTCCAGCTGAGTCCACTCATCCTTGAAGCTTCTGATTGTTTCCCATTCTTTGCTCGTGAACTTCCTTTTCATAATGTGAAAAAATTCTGGAATTGAACCACGACCTGGAAAACTAGTCTTCATGACATCAATTCCAACTTGTAGCTCAGGTTCTGCAGCCAGCACCGCGTAGTCCCCTTGATGGGAGATGTTAAAGTTGAAGTTGGGATAAGGGTTCATAGAGTCCTTTGCGAGAACTGGTTTTCTTTTTGCAGTTCTTTGCAGACGAATATTATTCCACGGAATATTCAACTTCTCTGCAATTAATTTCCTTATCATCAGACGACCAGCCATGGTGGCCTTAGCGTCCCGGGCAAAGACCAACTGGCCAATGCGCTCCTTCTCCGGCTGGATCGATCGCACCGCCAGCAGCCATTCGGCTCGGCTCGGCAGCCAAGTGCCGCAGGAAAAGGCCCAGCGCACGCCTTCCATGGATGGCAGCGAGCGGAAGCGTTTGGCGGGGAAAACCATGCACGCAGCAAGCGAGCCTCCCGTCGATGGCCCCCCCAATAAATTTAATATTAAAATATTTATACAAATTTTCCTTTTTCAAATGCATTCATTTTTTTATAGTCTCTGTGTATGTGCTAATTTCTCAAATGATTATAATTATTATGTATTGCAAACCTATATCAATAGAATATACTTTTTAAAAAGGAATTTTCAGGGCCAGCCAAATAGCTCAGCATATTAAGGTGCCTGCTTAGACAGATGCAGGGGCCAAGAGTTTGATCCCTGTGCCTGCGGTGCCAGCCCCACCCTCAGGAGGCACTGAGACAGAGATTGAGACTGGGATGGTAGCATGTGTCTGTAATTCTAGCTCTTGGGAGGCTGAAAACAGGAGGATCACTACAAGTCTGACCTATGCAGTGAGACCCTGTATAAACTGTCCTAAATACAAAAAAA